TCACATTTAGAGAGATTTAGAAAGCAGATACAAGTACTGTACAAGTTATCAAGTAGTTAGTTACTTAGTGTAGTACTTAGAGCATGAGTACTGATTAACTCAGTTCTTAACTACCAATCAAGACAAGATCATAAATTTAGTACCTAAATTTCAGGTACCACAAACTGAATGGGCATTGTTATAAAGCTCTGTCTACCAGGCTTGCCATTCCTAACAAACAATTCATACATAATGTGTTAACGAGGCCACTTAAAGTGAGGGGGAAGAGCAGGTCAAGGATTATTTTGGTGCTTCAGCTATATTTCCTTTTGAAACCCCATGCTGTATCATCACTCTTCTCTTTGTCCTCCTGAACCCTCCTAAAGTTGTTTAAAAATACCAAATAATGGAGGCCAAAAAACAAGAAGAGGGCAGGAGAGCCCCAAATTGGGAGCAAGAGAACAGAAGGAACACTATAGAAAAGTCATGTTGACAAGGAGAGGACAGATACACTAAAAAGAAAGTTGGACCTCCCTCTTGTTGACTCAGGACTGCTCCTTGGAGAGTGGGTAACAGTGCCTTGACTTTTGCACACTGGTTTCCTTTTGCCGTGAACTGGACAACAGAGTGCCTACAGAGGTGGGTATGTAATAAACCCAGAGAGAGCACATGGTAAAGCACTGAGAAGCACACATGGCACACACTTCATCCTAATGACTGGTGCCCTCACTGAAGCAACATGCAATCTAGCTGAGTGTTTACGCTCTGAGCCTAACTGCACAGGGCATTGTTCTTTGAACTTTACTTACGTTGACAATCAGAAGACATACACTTATAATCCCATTTTACAGTTGAGAACCTAGCACAGGCCAGTTTACTCCAGATGGTTGAGGTTGGAGTAAATGGGACAAAGCTAGGTTTATTTGAACCCAAGGCCTACACACTTCTTCATCAGGCCACACTACATTAAATGGCATTAATCATTTTTGTTACCAGCAGAAAATGCTGACCATTCCAAGCCCTAAGAATACATTATAAGGTAAAGAATGGGATATCCCTCCCCAGATTGCATTGAGAAAGGCAGAAATGTAGGGTCAAACTGAGAAACTTTGTAAGACCGGCATCAAAGGCATGAAAGCTCGATGGATTGATGCATAGGTACCATGACAGACAAGCTAGAAGAGGCTCCACTCCTCAGCTTACTAGTGCATTTCTGTGCTTCTTCATCATCTCCATCAACGCAAGGGCTTTCATGAGAATGTGGTTCTAAGTTTGAGTCTATTTCCAGAATCCAGTGTGCTAGTAGGAACCTTCCAGTTACTGACTTCCCCTGCTGCCAGATCCAGCAGCCTCCTGAGCACAGGCACTGTCTCATTTCCTACTTACCCTCAGCACCTTGCATAGATCTGACACATACAGACTGATGGATTGACAGAAAGATAGATGGGCAGGCAAGTGCAGCTCCTCCGTCTGAATGGTTCCCACTGTTCTCTTCCTTTTTTGCTAGCAGGCCTCTTATTTCCACTATTTTTATCTCAGCTTCTTGGGTTCATACCTTGTCCTTCCATTGTGTATTATTGGGCAGTGTTATCCATCCTCTGCAGTGATGCCTCAGAGCCTCGGTCACTCTACATGGCCTTTCTAGCTAACAACAAGGAAAGGTTAAAGAGGCTGTTAAACTCTCTAAGATGGTGGTGTGCATATAGGACAAATATGGAGAGGCATCGACAAGGAACACACACCCTTAATTCTGAATTCTTAAGGGAACAAGACAGTGGAGAAGAGAACCTCATTGTTGTTGGCTTGGCTCCAGGACTTTAATGAATGTCAGTGGGTAAGATGATGAATAAATATGATCTGAGAAGAAATTATGCAGTACATTTGCTTATTATTGAGGGAAAGCAGTCAATATTTGGTGCTGATATAAGTACAAAACAAAAAGGAGAAAACTGAAACTTTGGTTGGCTTTATAGACGACTATACTCTTCATAGCAATTTCTTCAATATTTGTTATCATTACCTGTCCATACATCTTGAAGAAATTTGTCCACCAATTAACATATATTAAGTAGTAAATATGTGTGTGTGCTTTAAGTGTTTATGTGGACTTATAAATAAGATGAGCTGGTATCAGTGGCTCACCTGTAATCCTAGCTAATCACCTGTGGCTCACTTGTAATCCTAGTTAATCAGGAGGCTGAGAATCATAGTTCAAAGCCAGGCTAGTCAGGAAAGCCTATGAGATTCTTACTGCCACAAAAGCCAGAAGTGGCACTGTGTCTTAAGTGGTAGAGTGCTAAACTTGAGAACAAAAGCTCAGGGACAGCACCCAAGTCCTAAGTTCATGCCCCAGGACCTGCACCCAAAATAAAGGGATTAAAAACTTTCATCCTCAAGGAGCTCAATTAGTATTTGGTTGTGATGGTAAGAAATACATATACGTAGTGTGTAAGTGGACTTTGAAGAGAGAGTCACAGAAAAGTGAGTTTGTAGATAACCACATAGAAAGTGCACATTAAGTGGAAATGGAGCCATCTTCAGAGAGAGACAGTGAATTGGGGGAGGAGGCCTTTACCCTAGGCTCAGGAGGCTCTGCTACAAAGCTTTGGCCAAGAACCTGAGTTCTTGGTTCCGTGGCTCTAATACTGCAATAACACTTGGGGGGCATAGTTGTTCTAGAGGAGGACCTGCTGGTCTGAGCTAGAATAATGGTTCTGTCAGGTGCATGCATAGCATAGGATTTAATGTCAGTGCATAAACCCTGTTCTTTTCTTGGTGATTTATCTGATCATCTGGTTTACATCAGTAAGACATCAGAGGGGACAGACAGATCAGTACAAATGTGCCTCATTCCTTGCAGGATCACTTAGCCAGGATGCTCTTGTCACACTCACGCATGAAGTGGATTCTTGTTCCTTTTCGGAAATAGAGTCCTTTACTGCGTTTAAGTGGACCTGCACTAAAATCCAGCAGGTCCTGTGTTTACTCCATTCCCTCTTTGCTAAAGTAACACTTAAAAGACCAATGATTCTTAACACCTGCATTCCATTTGATACCATTTGACCCTTGATCCAAGACATCATGAGAGATCTGTTTACATTTGCATTTGCTTGATAAAGAAGGGTTGCAAGAAAGGTGGATTTTTCTTTCAGAAATTTGCAAGATTTTACAAATACTTGTGTCCTGCTTCTAAGACATCTCTACCTAAGAAGTGAATAGGTATTTAGCTTTCACTCTAAACCAATGGGTCTGGATGTCTCCTGGAAGCAGATAAGAGTATCATTTCAGACAAAATGAAAATGTATTGTTCAGCCAAGCCATCAGGAGCTTTTTTCTAAGTAAAAATACACTCTGGTCAGAGACCAGGACAGTGGAGCCAGTGACAGCACTGCTGCTCAGCAGCCTTGCATTCCTATAGAGCTCAGACCATAGTCAATGCCAGCGGCTGGGGGTTTACTCAGGTATATTACCTGTCCCCTCCATCTACCTTCCCAACACATATGAAAGCAGTTATCAGGCCATTCTGCCTAAAGCAGATTAAATTTGTTCAGTAGACACTTAGTAAGCATCTGGATTTAAGGCATGAAAAGGCAAAATTAAGCTGGTTACTTAACTCTTTCTGTATAAGGAGAAAAGTACTTTTGTATTCTCTTACTACAAAGTGAATCATGGGGGGAAAATCCTCCATTGAGAACCTGTGGGTTGAGAAATAGAGGGGGAAGAGAAAAGATGTTGGAAATACAGATACCACAGACACCAGGCCTGAGTCTAACGTTAACTTCTGGCTTCATATCTCATCAGATCCCACTCTTTCTTTCTTGCAAATTTTTTCTCCTTTCCTTTCTTTATACTAGTCAGAAATCCATTCTATTTAAGACAGTCCCATTTTAAAAGATGAATATCTGTAACATGTGAATACAGCTCTTTTTACAAATGAAGCTCTATTAAGGCACTGTCATTTCAATGCACATACTGAGTTCCTACTGTGGACACATGTTAGAGTTCCTCTTTAAAATAAATCTGGAGAGAGAAGTGCAATGGCAACAACAATAACAAAAATAATAGCTAATAATTACTTAGGACTTACACTGTGTCAGAGTAATTTTCATTTTTCATCTTATTTATCTGCACAGCAACCTTGTGAGGTCAGGTACACTCACTAATCACAAAATGAGAAGCTGAGTGCTAGTGGCTCACACCTGTAATCCTGAGGGCTGCAGTTCAAAGCCAGCCTGGACAGGAAAGTCTATGAGGTCCTTATCTCCAATTCTCAAAAAGCTGGAAGTGAAGCCATGGCTCAAATGGTAGAGTGCTAGCAGAAAAGCTCTGGGAAAGTACCCAAGCCTGAGTTAAAGCCCCAGAACAAGGAAAGGAAGGAGAAGGGGAAAGGACTGAGTAATTTGCCTGGATTCCAGCAGCCAGAAAAGTGACAGAGGCAGGATTAGAACCTGTATCAGTTCAAGTTGAAAGTAGCATTTAACTGATGAATTATAATTTCCTCTGAAGTGTCTTATACATGCACCTGTACAGTGTAGAAGTTGGGAGTTTGCCCTGAAACTTTTCCTGCAGCCATCTAAGCCCAAATCTCACCAGTTCCTGACAGCTAAGTCACAGAAGCTGCCAGTCCACAAAGCCCTACTGTGACCAGTCAGTACACAATGACCACTAGACTTTCCTAGTTGGTACTACAACATGGAGAAGAAACAGCAGGAAGGGGATACTGAGCTAGGACAGGCTGGGAGCTGACTCTGATGAGGAGCACTGGATGTATGGAATGCCGTTCTGAGTGCGCAGTCTCAAGAAGATGGAATCTTAAGGACCTGAAGAAGGTATTCTTGGAGGAGAGACTGCAGGCCCAGCCTCCCATGCAGATGGGCTCACCTCACAAGTCTAGGGCAGCTCTGTACATCATGAAAGCACCGGCACAAATGCGGGGATCCCCATGGCTTTGTGGGCCTACTTTGTTCGTGAACTTGGAAAGTCAAATACTTGCTAATGTCACTTTTTTCTTTCCACCACAGGCATGAATGCTTTACAGTTACAGAATCTGGCGACACTGGCTGCTGCCGCAGCAGCTGCCCAGACCTCAGCCACCAGCACCAATGCAAACCCTCTCTCTACCACAAGCAGCGCTCTGGGTGCCCTCACAAGTCCCGGTAAGTAGAGGCTTGCTTTTTCCCTGTGTGTGATCAAAAGCACTGTGTGCTTGAGTCTGTACATACCACACCAGGGGTAAAGGGTGGGGACTGATAAGTCTAGGATGAGTGGAGCAAGATCTAAAGTGTGTTATCTTCCAAGGTCAAAATGAGAAATATTCTCAGTGAGAGAATCCACCATTATTGTGATTTTCCCGTATCTGTTTTACTTTCAGAAAGGCTTATCTTGTCTATTTGTACTGTGAGGCGCTTTAGTTGCTTAGTCCTGTTTTTTTTTTTTTTTTTGTCCTGTCCTCAGGAATTTAAGAATTTAAGAAAATGATAGAATTTAAGAATTCTTCATTAAATATCAAAATTCATGATCATCCAAACGTTGGATTTTATATCAGTTCATTTCTTCATATTTGATTTTTAAATCCCTAACCTAGCAAGACGCATCTTTGTTTTCACTATGATCCGATTCTAAACTATGTAATGAGGTCTTTTTTCCTCAGAAATGTTGTTGCCTTATTCAAAAGCATATGACATTTTTCTTTTCATACATGGTAAATATGTGGTTAGTTACCTAGATACTATAATTTGTTTTCTTGTAAAAAATGAAAAGTTAGAATGTTTTGCTGGCTTTCTTTCACTCTGAATTTTCTAGACTTGAGTAGATGATCTCACCACCTTTTCTGTTACATGAAGGAGTTGGCTGGGACAGCTTCTTCTGACACTCTCAAAGTGTACACAAATAATTAGCTAAGTGTTGGCAAAATAATTGTTTAGGGTTTTCTCAGAAAACGATTAAATGAAAGCTACAGCCTGCAATAGACCTAGCTTTCTCAAGGCTTTTGACGTGAAAGAGTGTGGAGACAGGAGCATATAACACTCAAAGCACTAGATCTTATATCTTTATAAAAATTTGTGAACATAAGACATTTCATCAGGAGTATGATTTTGAGGGAGAAACCTTAAGATATTTAGGAGAATCTGGTGAATTTATCTTAATATGCTGAAATCTCTTGGTAATAATGCTTAGGGGTATAGTGACCCTATTTCTTAAAATGTTTTGAAAACATATTACTACTATAATAGGCTTCATTTTCATAGGATATGTTGAACTCCTCGAAAATCAACTTAAGTAATCTTTTTCAAGAAATTAAGTTTTATATATATATAATACGATTCACAAACTTAGGTAAAGCAATCCTTCAATGACCCCTTTTGAAAACTAAACATCTTTAATATATTCAATTGCCCCTTTTAAGAAATAAGTGGTTTTTCTTAAAACCATTAAGATTTGTTCCCTGTACTTTATCTGTTTTATAAGTGAAATTACCATGTATTAATATTTTCCCCTATAAAAACTAAAATAATCACATTTTTAAAATGTATTATACATACATTTTACTTTATTTCTAGTCAGAGGCTTGGCAGTTTAAGAAGCCAAGTGCAAAAGCAGACATAACTGATCAGTTATGTCTCATATGTATTACATGCTTTCTTCAATATTAGACATTGTCCTGATGTTAGGAAAATGACAGTGAACCAGACACACATGTACTACCTTCACTCATAAGTCTTTTAGTCTCTCCAGGCATCCTGGACAAGCAGCATATAAATGTAAGATACAGACATGGTAGCCAAGGCTGTTGTAAGAGCAAACAGAATAACAGAGATAGGATGAAGGAATCAAAGGAAGTAATCCCTCTCTTAAAAGGTAGCATTTGAGCAGAAGCCTGAATTGAGTGAAGAAAACCATGTAGAGCCTTTAGAAGACAGAGCGTTGTAAAGACAGAGGAGCAGGAGAGACCTTGAGAGTAAACTAGAAAGGAAGTCTTGGTGCTGAGCAAAGGGAAGGAAAGGGAGAAGATTGTGGTAAGGTGCGTGTCATTAGATTCACAGCCATTTGTATTAGTCAGCATTTTTGTCACTGTGACAGAATGCCTGACATAAACAACCTGAGGAGATGAAGGATGTTTGCTCACTGTATCAGAGGGTTCAGTCCATACTCACTTGACTCAGTGGTGAAGTAGAATATCATGTTGACAGGAACATGTGATGATGGGAGGCTGTTAAACTCATGGCAGACAGTAAGTGAAAAAGGGAATACAGAAAGGGGGTAGGTCAAAATGTAGCTTTCAAGGATAAACCCACCAGTTACCACCAGTGACCTGTTTCCTCCAGATGGACCCTACTTACTAAAGTCTCCAACAACTCCCAAAATAGCACCAACTATGGACCAGGCATTCAACCAACACATAAGTTTGGACGACAGGGGATTTCATGTTTAAACAATAATACCAAAGATCACAAATTGGTTATAATCTTCTTAAATGTGGGATGCACAACACAGGTTGATGGTCTGAGCATTTGTCAGGAGGAATTTTAAACATACTTGCCCATCCCAATTATTTCTGTGGCCACAATGAAAGAGAAAATGGGTTTGTAGATTTCTTTTCCTTCCTCTCGCTCTAGTCAAAAATGACCACAGCAAAGCATCTCCCGTACTCCTAAGGGGGAGGTGTCCTAGGAACCCAGTTTGTTCCCTCTGTGTCTACTGCCACCTGAGGCAGCACTGAATGTGACTTTTCTCTTCTCTGTTGAGGAATGCTTGAATAATACCTGAAAGTATTTTATTAGAACCCTGAAACATAGCGGTAAAAATGGTGTGAATCCACATTTCAATTACTTTTGCTAAGAGTAACTTTAAAAACTTAGGGATTCAAGTGAAAGTAAATGTATTTGTGTGATTTCCATCAGGGACTTTTATAAATTCACAGAAAATGTGGTGAGTAGAGTTCAAGACTCTCCCCCTTATCCTGGCGATTTCCTGTGTGGTAAAAGGAAGATATCCCCAAAGCCAATACCATTATTTATTTATTTTTTAAATAGATAGTGGGTTGGCTGGCTTTTTGTACCATGTACACATCCAGCCATTGTGTGAAAGTGAATGGAAGACCCACCCCCTCACTTCTATACATGCCCTGCATTTGCTACATTTTTAAATGTCTCCAAGTTCAGACAAATTCATCTAGAAAGGAAAGGGGCAGTTTAACTCCCCAAACTATTAATTTTTTTAGTAATTGTAAATTTATCTTTTCAATTTTGCATACCCAGAAAAAGTCTCCCTACAGCATTATTATAAATGATTTTAAATAGTCTTGGCTTTGAACCATGAGCAATTTAGCTTTAATTTTTGTTTAAAAAAATCCCCTGAGGCCATAAATAGGTTCCTTTGTCTCATGGCCTTGAAATAAAAATTAAAATAATTTAAATTGCCCATGGTTAGAATAAGTATTTCATGCAATTATCAGATGGTAGTGAATAACATTAGAAATTAAATCATGGAAGAATAAAAACCAGGTAAGTGCATATTATGCCTTTTATGAGTTTCTCATGGGTCTTTTGAAGCTTAATCTAATCGTGTTTTTATGTTTTATTTTGATAGGATAATTTTTCCTTTGTTTATTTCAAGTCTCCTATTTAATTAATTCATTCCTGGGTCATTTCTTCTTACCTAGTTTGGAACCTGTTTTTTGAGGTTTCTGTTTATAGAGAGTAGCAAATTGTAGGTTAGGCATTGCAGCTAGATTGTAAAGATAATATTCTTCTCAGACCCTGTTCCTAGATGTGTTGTTTTATCTGATAATTTTAAGAGCTTAGAAGACAGCGTGACTTAACCATATATGAACCTGCTTTGGCATTTTCTATCTAAATCCTAAAAGTGCATTTATGTGTGTCACACTATTTCACTGACCTTCCTCTGTTCTCTTTTTTTAAAGAAAAAGACATTTTAAAATTCTCCAGATGTTTCTGTAAGTACAGACTCAGTCAAGTGCACACTTCAGGATAATGGATAATTTCTTTCAATAGTGAAAAGCATCTTAAAATGCAGTCAGCACTATTCCATGCCTACTGAAGCCTCTTCAAAGAGTTTTCCCTTTAAATTCTGAACAGTCTTTTCCCCTAGCTTCAGCTTTCTTGAAGGCTAAGACCAAGTCCCAGGAAAATGTTGAACCCTCTGGATAGTTTGAGGTTAGCAGAAGTGGAAGGTGTTTTGATGTGATTCTGGCCTTTCCTGCATTCCTCACATGGTGATAACTGATGAGCAGGTTTTGTCTGCTGTCTCTAAATCCCTACAGCAGCTACATGAGCAGTAGGAAACTGAACTTCATCTGGAAGTTATAGTATAGTCTTTCAGTTCACAGAATTGTTTGCTATCCTACAGTGTACATTATATCATATGAGACCTGCATTCTGTGGAGACAGGCAGTTCATAGGCTAATTAAATCACATTTCTATCTAGTATTTGTTGGATCAGTATATAAAAATGCCTCAGTTCTACACTGCCCCTCCAAGTAGTAACATTCACTTGGTAGTAAGTAGCACATGGCAGACTATGATGAGGCCCAGAGACAGGGACAGACAGACCACGGACTCTGGGAGGGACCATCTTCCTAAGGGGACTGCAATGATAGCTCAACTTTAGACAGCCCAAGACTAAACTTCCACGTGACTTGTTCTTCCTACTGGCTTCCCACCATTTTCAGTCACTAATGGAACTCAGTAGCTGGATCTCACAACCAGCCGTAGTTCAGTAGTACACCTCAAACAGCAGCCTTCATACTTTTATCAGTACCTAAGAGAAAAAAGGATCAGTGCAAATGCCACCTCCACTGATAAAGCCTTCCTTCCAGTACAGCTTCATTTCCACATGCTATCTCCAATATAAATACTTACCTAGTTCTAAGAAACTTACCAGGAACTCCTTGAGGGCATTGGAGGCAGTGTGGAATATTAGCAAGAATAGGAGTCCTGTAAGCCCCACCCACATTCTTTAATACTGCCAGCCCTCCATTAAGATACTCATATTTTCTTTCAGGACAGATGTTTGGGCACATATCTTGTGTCTTACCATCTATATAGTAAGCTTTTTAAAGCATTAACAGTATGTTATGTGTTTGTATTTGCCCTTGCATTTAGAACAAGACAAACACACAGGCCTTCAAAGGTTT